GCTATTGGTTTTGGGAAAAAAATTTAAGAATAAAATTTTTTTTTAAATAAAACAAGGATTTTAAGTTCTAATTTTATTTCATAAAACTTCATCTCGAAAAAAGTTTTGATATGAAATAAAGAAAGGGTTGCTAATTTCACCCGCTATAATGTAACAGGAATATTGAAAAAATACCCGTGTTTAGTCCTTTGCGAATGTACGAAAATTACAAAATTTTAAGATTCTAGCTTTACTGAAATTTTAGAAAAAAAAATATCTCGGAAAGTGGTGGACTGAGGAAATTTTGTTATAGGAAAAACCCATCTTAATTTTCATACGAGCAATCACCTACTGAATTTTGTCGCATACATTTAGAAACACCCTGTATACCTGACATGTGACATATAATAAATCTGCTATCATCTCTTCTGTAAATATTAAATTGGATTTTATTTAAATTTACTTTTATTTAATTTTTCCGTTCTATAAAACCTAGGGGAAATAAATATTTGATCAAATCTAATTAATTTGTACTGGATATACCTGTCTACGGCAGCGTAGAAGGGCCACACTTTTAATTTTTTTTTTTACTTTTAAAATTCCGTGTTTGAACACGGAATTCCTTGTTCGTGCACGGAATTCCGTATTCAAACACAGAATTCCGTATTCGAACACGGATTTCCTTGTTCAAACACGGAATTTCTTGTTAAAACACGGAAATCTCAAATTCCGTGTTCAAACACGGAATTTCAGTGTTCAAACAAAGAATTCCGTATTCGAACACGGAATTCTGTATTCGAACACGGAATTCCCTGTTCAAACATGGAATTCCTTGTTCGAACAAAGAAATCTAAAATTCCGTGTTCAAACAAAGAATTCCGTGTTCGAACACGGAATTCCTTGTTCGAACACGGAATTTTATTTTCGAATTATAAATTTAAATAAAGTATTTACAGGTTGCTTTTGGGTGACTTGAGGATCTTTGTGAGGGATGGGTAAATACAGATTCTTTGAATATCCTCAGATTTTTACATTTGCCGATTTTTTAAAAAAGAGACGGAAGTAGTATGTTATGTTGATAATGGGGTGTTAATACACTGCGACCTAAAAGATCTATTGTGCCCCCTTCTATCGCCACTGCACTAAGGAAATGTCTCAATGCCTATAGCGACCCTTCCAATCCTATTTTCTCAAGGAAGTAGTATCAAAAGTCTTGCCCTCTTTGTCCCCTGCATAGTAATATTTTTCCATTAATTTTATTTCCAGGTCAGTCTTATGTCTTAGGCTCTAGTCCCTGATGCCCAAATTTCATTTAAATCGATTTAAAATAACACCCTGTATAGTGTTTTAAATTTACTCTCATTGCCTCTCTAGCCTAGATAAAAAAGGGATAAAGTGAGGCGGTGTTTTCTAAATCCAATTATTAGTTATCTCTCGAAAAAAGTAAAGAAATGGAGGACCGGTTAAAAATGTTGTTGCTTGTATTTCTATTAAATGGTATTATCAAAAAATGGTGGTGCTACTTAAAAAACTAGTGATGGCGTCATATTTCGAAAAATGATGACACCTGATGAAAAATATACTTATACCAAAATATTCGCATCTACGCTTCTACGCTGCCGTACATATACCAATAAATACTGTAGCTTGAATATAAAATTATGTGTTCGACCACGGAATTCCTTGTTAGAACACGGAATTTCCGTGTTCAAACACGGAATTCCTTATTCGAACACGGAAATCTAAAATTCCGTATTCGAACACGGAATTTCCGTGTTCATACACGGAATTCCGTGTTCGTACACGGAATTCCGTGTTTGAATACGGAATTCTTTGTTTTAACACGGAAATTCCTTGTTCGAACACGGAATTTTGGATTTCTGTGTTTGAACACGGAAATTCCGTGTTTGAATAAGGAATTCCGTGTACGAACACGGAATTTTAGAATAAAAAAAAAAATTAAAAAATGTGGCCCTTCTACGCTTCCGTACCTGTCTAATATTTTCATAATTACTTTTCAAACCACTTTACATGTGCTAATTTTAGAATTTCGCTAATTCGTCCAATATGTTTTGTTGACTCCAAAATCATTTGGTTCGTTGAACCATCAAATCAAGACCATTTTCGACGAAATGTTCATGACACTTTTTTTTCTTTTTTTGACCTCAGTTAACTTTATATTTTTATGTAGGTGGCTGTAAACCACCTACTGCCCATAATTATAAAAACAGCGATACCAAATATAAAGAATAGAAGTAGGCGAGGTAAAAACGTGATTTAACATACCTCTTATTCTTGCTAAATTTTAAAAAAATGACTCATAATTTATGTAAACGGTACATCGGCTCTTAAAAATTAATTATACTCAGAATTTTGACCAATTAATATTTGTTTTTAATTATAAGATATTGGGGTTCTTATATACAAATATAATAAAGCCGTCCAAGATCATTAGTTAAAAATTAAAATTCGATTTGTGTCTTTTTAATTGTTATTATAAGCCTACTGGGAGGTATAAATGAGATAATTAATAAACGAATTTTTTTTTAATAATTCATACAAAATGTTTTTAACGGGACAGGCAAAGTTAGTGTTTTTAGTTGGTTTAAGCGAGTGTGATTTGGCATCAATATTTGTACAGTTGAACAAAAAATATTGTTTGCATTTCGTAGTGAAATCAGTATTTTACGATGCACTCCGTTAAATTTTTGGCCTCGACCTACCCATGATATCGACTAAAAATTGAATATCTCATGCGAGTTAAAAAATACTGATGTCGTGCGAAGGTATACATACGAAGGTATTTTTTTTATTTCGAATTTGAACTCGAAATTCCGACTTCAAATACGAAATTTCGACTTTACACCATGTTAAAATTATGGGTACCTGTATGTGTAACGTATGGAGCGTGGGTTACTCCACGGCACTTGGGCCTCACTAGGTCCATTGTGCATCCTCCTAAATTGAAAGGCACCTCCTAGCTCGTGGGCCAGCCTACAGATTTAATGTAGTTGACAACGTCGCCAAGAGGTGCTTCTCTTATATCGGTCGAATTCTCGCCGAAGACAAATCTTCTAATTAATGAGAGCATCGGGCAATCGTAGAGGATATGCTCAATGGTCTCACCTTTTGTTCGCACCTTCTGCAGAGTACGGATTCTCCATGCAATGAAGATGTTTTCGTACTTAACAATGACCAGTCAAAATGCCTGTAATCAAGCGCAGATTATGTCTTGTCATAGTCAAGTATTTGATTGCTGTAGTGTTGTCAGGATAACTTAAAAGCTCCTTGGCAACTCTACCACTTCTTATTTCATCCCATCTTTCTTTGAATTTTACAAGATAATGTTCTTTAATTAGGTCTGTCTAGTCTAATACAGGCCTGCACAACATATGGTCCGCCATTGTCGTTTTCTTGGCACTTTGTCCGTTGACCAGTGTTGCCGCCAGAGGCCTTTAAAGAATTGTACAGATCCTAGGACAAAATTGTACCAGATTTTAAACGATTGTACAGAAACGAAATATGAAATGTGTATGTAAACTAATTGTTATGGACGCGACTTTGTTATTTTGCCATGCAGTTCATTTCGCCTGTCCCTACTCATAGAGATAGATGAAATAAATTTCATTGAAAAATTGCGAAAATTTCGTTTAAAAAAAATAGACAATTTTTCCTACAAATTCTCGTTCATGTGGTATTATGGGAGTAGTTTTTTTACTTCCTCATAAAGGATATCCATTTTATCCACGATAACTCATGAACGGATACAAAGAAAAACACTAAATTTTAAATTTAAGCTTTATTTTGGCCTGCGGAGGAAAATCTGGGGGATTACTTTATAGGGGGTCATTTATATGTTTTATAGTATATATCTGTTATTTACGTTTAGAAAAGAAAATGCTTTAAATAAAAGTTACTTCTTCTAATATTATTTTCTATAATTTTTGTCTTATACAAAATTTTCCTAAAATGGTCCCTATTAGAGAAATTTGACAAAATGTAAAAAAATCGATTTTTTATGAGAATTGTTCAAATAAAAGTTGTTTGTGATATTATTCTCTATAATTCTTGTCTAATATATAATTTCTCTAAACTGGACCGTATTCGAGATATTTGAAAAAAAGTATAAATTTCGAATTTTTAAGAAAACTCAAAAACGGATTAGGAGAAAAACCCCAAATTTTATACTTAAGCATTATTCAGGACTGCGGTGAACTGATTAAATTTTTGGCAGAATCGGAATATCTGGGAGAGGGGGAACTTTATAGGGGGTCGGTTTTATATTTTATGGAATATATCTGTTATTTACGTTTGGAGAGGAAAATTCTTCAAATAAAAGTTACGTATTCTTTATAATTTTTGTTAAATACAAAATTTTCCTAAAATGGTCCGTAATTGAGAAATTTGACAAAATGTGCATAATTTTGATTTTTAGGAAAATTGATAAACTAAAAATTGTTTGCGATATAGATTTCGATAAGTTTTGTTTTATACATGATTTCTCTAAAATGGACCTTAATAGAAAAATTCAAGGAACATTTTAATTTTTTAGTATTTTCGTTGGCAATGAATATAAACTACTGGCCACTCGAACTTACACATAGAGATTTTTAGGCAAAATTGAACGTTCAATATTTTCAACACATGATTTTCCTATCTAGTTATTACAGGCTTTTTCCAGTTATTTTGTACAACCTATTGTAGCACCTCTGTAAATGTTTAGATGATAAACTAAATATATACATTTTCCACACACTCGAATAATTTTTTTATTGTTATATCTGGTATATTTTCTCTAATGAAGGCCATCTTGTTTGACTTAATCTTAACAATTTGTGGGCTTTCGTGTCAATAAATTCTTGAAATTCTTTATAAACGGTAAGCCTTTTTTGGACTTTTCGATATATAGTATGTATCTTGGACAAACTCCTCTACTGTAGAAGTTATTTTTTTGTCGCTTCTGATGCACATAGATGTAAGGAGTGACATATACAACCAACAACAAAAATATTAGAATTAACTTTTTCTTTAAGTTTTGCTATCTGCCCCATCATAACAAAAGCATTATCTGCACCGAAACTAATAAAATTATGGTAATTAATTTCAGATTTATCCAGTAAATCCACAATGGCTTTAGTGAGACCATCTGCAGAGCAATTCTCTACCTCTACCAGTGACAATAACTGGTCTTTAATGGAACTTTGGTTCATATCTACAAAACGGCACAAAATTGCCAAACATTATTTTGTAGAGATGTCTGTTGTTTCACCTACTTTTTAGTTGTTGCACAAGTTCGTTTTTAGCCTCAATCTTCAACATTTTAAATATTTGGGTAGCCTTTGTTCTCCCACAATTTATATTTTTCACCACTTGAGAATCTGGAATACTAGATACTAAAAGTTTAACAACATGATCCATTAGCAACATTGGGCAATTATATTCTGCAATGAGGTCCAAACTTAATTTGTACTCGGCTTCTTTAGCTACAACCGTCAATCTTTTTTCTTCTGAAGATCCTTGAAGCAATTTTTCAATGTTCCCTGTATTTGTAACCTATTTGGCATTTTTTTTGTGAAACTGATTCTTTTTATGCCTTGTTAAATGAGCTGCCCTACCCTCAACTGTTTGATTACATAAAGAGCAAATTTTCTCTCGATTACGAAGTAGTTTTACCTATGGACACTTTGTCTAAATTTATGATATTTTTTTTTTCTACAAAGAAATTAAAAGACTAGAGGAAGCATTGGTCTTATTTTTATTATTATTATTTAAAATAAATTATGGCATTTATAGCCGTAATGCTACGCCATTGGAAAACCAGTATTTATTAGCAGAACAAAAATATTTTACAGTAAAAAAATTACCTGCTGTGGAGGAGATCTATCCCTATATTGCCGACTGGATGACGTTGTCACAAATTCAGATTCTGTTAAATCACTATTTTGTTCTAAAGTAATTATGTCGGACTTTATTATTTTATCAGATGGTCTAGTCTAGATAAACTTGATGAAGTAGAAGGCTAAGAAATACTAAGCCTCGGATCTGCCTCTTTTGCTTTTCTTATTACAAACCTGTTAATTAAAATAGTTTTAATTATTTATTAATACAGCACCTATTATATATAAAATTTACTGTAGACCTAACAACCCCAACAAATAATAATACGAACGTATCCGTTTTTTACATTAAAATACTTATTTTTCTTTTGCTACTGATTTAAAAATATTTTGAAATTTATCGATATTTATGGCAAATGGTATATGCATCTATTTTTATTTAGAAAAATTCTTGCCGTCAGATCAATGTTTAAAATTGTACCAAATGTACCAGAAATAGTAATATTATAATAATATAGTAATTAGTAATATTGTTTTATATTCAGTTAATATGGGCTTATGGGTCTTATGGCCCCTGCTCTTATCAAATTATAATAATAATAATAATAATAATATTAATAAATATTAAAAATGTACTTTTGTACAAACGATCTCAAAATGTACCAGATCTGTACAATTGTACCAGCTCTGGCAACGCTGCCGTTGACCATTTTGGCCCGCCTACGTCAAACTATGCTTTTATACAAACTATTGTCGGGCGACTTTAAATTAAACACGAGAATTAATTTAAATATTTTACCCCATTTGAATTATGCCCCTATTACATCTGTAGACGTAAATGTATAAACATATGTAAATTTTGGAAAATGCCTAGTTGTCAATGCTTTTAACAATTTTAATAAATAGGATATATATTTGTTAAGATGCTTTGTTCTTATGTATGCTAGTGTTCAGATAAGCATTATGTAATTTTAGGTGCCTATTCAAGATAATGGTAAATAAACTATGTACTTAACAACTAACTATTGTCTTATTTAAGGGAAAGTGGGGGAATCATGCGCGTCGGGTAATCGTACGCATCAAACTATTTCATATTTCGCGGGCTTTTAAGCGCCACCGACTAGTGCTGCGCTCTCTCCTTTCTACTTTACATCACTGACGCCATTACTCACATTAGCTGTTTACGTTTGCACGGAACGAGCCCTGTTTATTTGAAGTCCAGAAAGTTTCTGTAATTTTTTGACATCGATAAGATATATTTATTTTATGGATAAGTATGATCTATTGCATCTATTGATGCTTGTTTTACATTGTTAGGTTATGTAGTTTACTAACTTTATTACAGATTGTCATTTAATGTCTAAAGGGTAATGATGCGTGCTGATGTGCACCATTACCCTACACGTAATCTAATTTTAAATATATTTTTTTTTCAGTACCGAGAAATTACGAGTTTTCAAGGAAAACCACAATTCTTTCATATAAGAAAGAAGATTTACAAAACGCATTATTTGCGATAAGAAATGATGGCAGAATAATAAGGGATACAGGAAGGGCCTTGAATATTCCTGAATCGACACACAGAAAAAACTGTCAAAAAATGAGCCGAAGCCTCCTCGTTTGGGTTGCAAGCCTGTGTTTTCAGAGGAAATAGAATCTGAGTTTTAACGTTTTAACGCTAGCAAAGCTATTTTATGCCCTAACACCCAGGTGTCTAGGCGGCTACTTTTAGATATGCTGAGCAACATGACATTGCCCATAAATTCGACAATGAAAAGGGATTAGCTGGGAAGGACTGGCTGTATGGATTTTTAAGGAGATTACCTGATATAAAGCTACGGCAGCCTGACGGAACCAGTGTATATAGGATTGCATCTTTTAATAAGGACTCAATCAAATTATTTTTTTTTTTTAACCTTCAAACTATCATGGAAAGTTTGAACCCAAGAGTTCCATCCAACATGGATGAGCCCGGCATCACCACGGTGCAGAACATATGCCCTAAAGTTTATGGTCGTAAGGGATCCAAAAAAGTAGAAGCTGCAATTTCCGGCGAAAGAGGAAGAACAATAACAGCTATATTTTGTATGAATGCAGATAGGAACTACATACCTCCCATGATAATATATCATAGGAAAAGGATACCCAAAACTCTCAAGAAAAATAGACCAATTGGGGCGTTGTACAAATGTTCTAAGAACGGTTGGATCAATTCCGGACTTTTTCTTCAGTGGCTGGGTCACTTTCAGAGGCATGCTAAGCCTACTGTTACTGATCCTGTCCTTCTGGTCCTGGATAACCATTCCAGCTACATTTCAATTGTCGCTTATAATTTCTGCAAAGAAAATAACATCCACATGGTCTCGCTTTCTCCACACACATCTGATCACCTTCAGCCTCTGGATCTGACATTTTTTAGCCCTCTGAAAAATGCACTATTTGGGGAATATGATCTTTACTTGTCAATACTAGTATTAAAAAATAACTGAAACCGACGTAGCCGAACTTTTAAACAAAGCCCTCATGAAAGTGGCTACAATGGAAAAAGCAGTTTCAGGGTTTTGGACGTCTGGAATATCTCCATTGGATCCCGAAAAAATTACCGATGCCGATTTTTAAGCTAGCCACAATGTAGGAAAACTTACAGATAATCACCCAGATCCGAGCCCTCAGCCATCTACGTCTTATGATAATTCTTTCTTTGCTATGCCTCCAATAACAAAAACAAAAGTTAACCAGGCAATGAAAAGAAAATCTAGGAACAAACAGAAATCGGAAATTCTTACGAGCACTCCGATCAAAACAAAACTAGAAGAAGCTGAAGAGAAAAAAAGACAACAAGAAGAAGCAATCAAAACCAAAGAGAAACTGAAAGATAAGAATAGTAAAGGAGTTATTCGTAATTGTTTGAACGGTGAATTATCAATTCCGTCGTCTTCAAAGAAATTCAAAAGCAAACAAAAGAGACCGCCAACTCCTGAATCATCTGATTCATCAGAAGATGATGTGTCGGATATTTGTGACGACTATGAGCTTTTTGATATTGAATCACATACTTTGATTACTATACGAGGCAAGAGAGAGGTCCGACACGCCCAACATAGGGCGCGGCCATTTTGAACCCTGTGACACAGTTTACAGCTAAAGAATCAGATCGCTCACTCTGCGTCGGCACTTTTGATCTCAATGTTTCACTTTATACACTGTGCAACTCGGATAATACAATATATGACAACCGCCTATAATAAAACAGCAGTCTTCTGCGTATCCTGAATTTGTATCCCTGGAGTGGATGTTATTTTGGAACTTTCAACTGGTCCGAGTGAGCTAACTGATTCTTTAGCAATAAACTGTGACTTCAAAAATAATATTCACTGACACTGACAGCAGCAAGCAAAATATCAGGTGCGTTTTAATCATCCGCTTCTGCTTCCGGAATTGTCGGTTTAGTCGTTTTAACCTGTTAGATTAAAACAAGAAAACCGACAATTCCGAAGCAGAAGCGGATGATTAAAACGCACTTATTAAAAATATTGCGCCAAGATGTAGGCAACACGTAATAAGGGTTCAAAATGACGGAGTTTTCTATCTCCTTTTAAAAGGCACTCAGAAAGCTGCGCAGTGCGATCATTCTCCGTATAGTAAAAGAAAATCAAAGTATGTGGAACAGAAGTAAAAGTTGGAAATGCTTTTGCCAGTTCTCCCACTTTATACACATACATTGACAGGTTGGCAGCGAATCTCCCCGAAGTGGACGCGATACATTGGCGTACAAAATTTTTTTATAGATGTTAATAACAATTTCGAGTAAATAGTTTAATAAATTGTGAATAGCTGTTGAAATTTTGTAAAATTATAATTTGAATATTATAATACATATATAATAATTATTTATAATCCATAAATACATGCGATTGTCCGGTTCCGCCGATAACAATTTAAAATTACTTATTCTATGAAACGACACTGGCAGGTAAACATTACTGTGAAATTCTCGGAGCCGCCCGACGTGGTTTGACGTTTACCCCCTCTCTACCTACCAAAAGACTTTTCAACTTTTACTTTCTCTATACATAATAATATGTGTTCTTTGCTCAACTTGAAACCATGCTGAATGTACTGGCTCAGATATCCTAAAAAATTATAAATGTGACCTATGCTCAAATTAGGAGTTAGTATATTTTTTTTGTTCCACAACTTCAATAAATGTTTTTAAAGTTATTGTTGGTTTTATCTTATACTTAATACTTTTAATACGCACGATTACCCAACACATGCGCATCATTACCCCCAACAGCGGGGAATAAAGCACAAGAGCACTTTTGTACTTTCAGCAGTATTGTACTTTAATTATTTTATTTTTTCCTAAAATTGATTTACGTGCTGAGAGTAGACTAAATAGCACCCCTATTACGGTATTTACATTTAAATTATCTACAATGCTATCAGTGCTATAACGATTTTCGCTTAAGTGCCCACAATTCCCCTACTCTCCCTTAAATGTGATTATATCCAACGTCACACAAATATAAAGTGACGATTATTAATTATTTATTATTAATGTTCCATTTTTACATTACATTTTTCGTAAATACTTTTGCATATTTTTCGCAAATCAATTGCACTAAAATGCGCATTTTTTAAAATTTTTGGTGCATTTTTTCCGGTCCTTGGTCATAAGTTAAGAAAGTGTAACAACAATATGGTAGACGAGGT